GCATCACAAATTAATGATATCCTGTTGTGCTCATAAATGGAATGTTTGCTTTATAAACATAATGTGCAGAGAAGCTTGAGTTAATTGTCTTTTAAACGATACTTCTTGAGAAGTGGTTCTAAATCTGCTGTTCGTGAGCACCACTGCGCTCCCTAAAAGTCTGGCAGCGCTCTTCTCCAGTATAAAGTAGCGCTTAAAATCATGATCGGGAGCACCTTTCTCAGAACTAGTGCTTACTAACAATGGGTTGGGAAACCTTAGTCTAGATAATTCAGACTCGAAAATACTATGACGTATATCTTCCATGGCAACATTCACATCACTTATGTTATTTCTTATTAAGCTCCTTATGTGTTTACTATAGTATTTTCACACTAACCTGGCCCATAAGCCACGCCCCTCTTCTATATTAATAGCTCATTGGTTCATATAAAATTCAAACTAAATGTGTTCACAATTGGTAATCAGACCTGTTATTATCTAAAATAATGTTAAATATCTGGATTATCAAAATTCAAATGATTTCAATGCCCTACTGCCATATGGCATTACGAAAATTGTGACCAAGTCCCAGGTTGCTGATCTGTCTTTCTGCATCATTTACACACAATTGCAGGGTCTCAATTGTTTCTCTTGCTATTGACAACACAAAATACATAGTGTTTCTCGCTTTTGATCTTTTTTTTATTTTTGTTTTTCTTTATTATTATTATTCTTATTATTATTACAGTGTTGTTATTATTATTATTATTATTATTATTATTATTATTATTATTATTATTATTATTATTATTATTATTAATTCATTATTTTATTTACTATGAATTATTATTATTATTATTACATTTTTGTCCCCCATGTCCCGATGTGGGTCAGTGACCTGTATCCGGGTGGGATAATCCCCGTAAAAAAAAAAAAAATGTTAGAAAAATATAAATATTTATCACAAAAGTTCGATATAAATACGCGCTTATACAGTATATGTGCAGTCCGGGGGGAGGTAAAACGCTCAGGGGAACCAATCACCTATTTGTAGCTATAGACGAGGGACGTGGCTTACGGGCCAGGATAGCGTGGAAAGGGTTTAGTTACTGTGTCGCAGGATTTTTTGTGTCTTACTGTAAAGTTTCTCAGTTACCTTAACATTGGATATAAACCATATAATCCCCTTGTTAATATTGTCACCAAGGGGATTATATGGTGTGTCACCACCGGTATTCAATGTGTTATACGTATACTTGATAAATGATGATTTAATGACTTGCATTAATTTCCAACACCCATCTAAGTCATTTGTTATACTTTGTCACAACCAATCAGTCATTACCTTAAGTAATTAGTAAGATAGGGATCACAGATATGGACAGATAATGCACTTACATTTATTTGGCAAGGTTCCATACACTAATTTACAATTTGTATGGAAATATGAGTCATTCACTCACATTTTAGTGACAATATAGGTATTGTTGTAAAGAGGGAGTTTATTAACCAAGGCATCTCATTTTAATTACTATTATACGTTGGCTTAATTATCAGAGCCTTAATTCCTACATTGATATTCACTTCAATGGGGAATATAACCACTTATGTTCACTAGACCAGCCTGGATCGCACTTGTAGCAAACAGGCCTTCATAAGTGATCATTTTTCATGGGGAATAATAAAGCCTTGGGGTTTGCACACACAGTTTCGTGTTACTGACATTCTTAACTTCAGATTGACAGTGCCGCGGCAAGAGAACTGTTTAAGCACCCAGTTTACTTAAGTTTTAGAAGCTGGTGGTCTTAACTTTTGGGGTTTGCACACACAGTCTCGTATCAATAGTCCTAACTTCAGCAGACGATGTCGCGGCAGGAGAACTGTGTAAGTGTCCCATTCCTTGAAAGCTGGGGAGCAGGAGGTCTTAACTAACCCATGGTCGGGGGCCTACTGACTTAAATGTGGTTGTCCCGGGCGTGAACACGATGAAAAATAAGGCACTGTCCTACTGGGCCCCATATGTTGACTCTATACCTCGCTAATGGAATCTTGATAACACCGTCATGTCTCGCCCGCTATGTTATCTGGTTCCAAACAAACAGTCGGTTGGGTTGCGTTAGGCATTACAAAAGACAAAGGGTCATCTAAAGCATCTGATACCTCTTGCTATTTGTCATAGAAAACTTTGTGATTGCTTATATTTCACTAAATCTCTTAATAAATGACAAAAACTTCAATGCATGACGCATAATGGCATTAGCATGAGCTTTGACAGCAGAAGACCCTGAACCATTCAACTGAACAGTGAACCAAGATACACATAAGACCTTCTCTCCATATGACCTTTCTTTATTTTACATATTATGAAAAAAAATGTTTCTCCCTGATTAATCTTCCTATCGTAGTTTTCACAAAATTGTTGTAATTGATATGTTCCTTCACATGTTTCTTCTGCTCGTTGACAGTAATATCACGTCATCCATCACTGTAATAATATTCCACCCTGACAAAAACCATCTTGATAAAAAAATTATTTTATAATTCTAATTAAACCGTTAATAAATAAAACAAATAAAATAGAGGATGGTGGTGAAACCTTGTCGTACTTCTAAGGTTGCCACTAAGGTTGTTCCAATAATACTGTTTGTCACACCATACACTACAAGGTAACTGGGGCAACCACAGCCTACAGTAAGCGTCTCAACACTATGAATAGAATATTTCCTCGTATACTTGAGAAAATTTTACACACACACACACACACACACACACAAAGACGTACTACAGGATGTGTCTCTCTCTCTCTCTCCTCAGGAGGTGGTGACTCATTACGTGGCGGTGAACCTGGCCACCGCACACCCGCACATCGACGCTGATGGCACCGTGTACAACCTGGGAACTTCCTACACCACCAGCCTGGGCCCACAACTGAGGATTGTAAAGTTTCTTGGTGGGCACCTCGAACAAGCCTCCATTGTCGCTTCTGTCCCTAGTCGGTGGAAGACGGGCCTTCCTTACTTCCACAGCTTCGCCATGACGCCCAACTACTGGGTGTTCATCGAACAGCCTCTGGTGCTGTTCTTTAAGAATCTGGTCCTGAACTATGTCACCAACAACAAGCTGATGGACGCCCTCAAGTGGATGCCAGAAGAGCATCTTTATTTTCACGTGATCGAGCGATCGACAGGGCGTAGTGTACCCATAAAATACACGGCCGACTCTCTCATCATCCTCCACCACATTAACGCCTGGGAGGAAGATGGCCACCTCATTCTAGACGTGACAGCAAATGACGAGGGTAAATACCTCACCACCTTCTACTTCAACAATATCGAGAAGGAAGTCACCGATGCCTCAAAAGTCATCGTCACAAGCAGGATCCGACGTTTTGTCCTGCCTCTTTCACTTCCAGACGAGACTCATAAAAACGTCAACTTGATCAAATTGGAGAACACTAGGTGCTCCGCCGTCAGAACTAGCAAGTCCTCTGTCCACTGCACGCCGACTGTCCTGTGGAACGAGGGATTTGAACTCCCAAGAATCAACTACAAAAAGAACGGACTCCCTTACCGCTACGTGTACGGGGTCTCGATTGGACAAGATTTGACCTTCGAGAAGCTGGTGAAACTAGAGGTGAACACCGGTAGGGCGTGGCTGTATTCCGAAAAGGATTGTGTGGTCACCGAGCCCATATTTGTGGCGGCTCCTGACGCTGTTGATGAGGACGACGGCGTGATTCTCTCCTCGCTTTTGAGGGGGAACGACCCCCACTATGTGGCCCTATTGGTGTTAGACGCCAGGGATCTGACGGAGACGGCTAGGGCCGAGTTTAGGGCCGAGGGCCAAGTGACCATCCCTTTCCATGGCCAGTACATCTCTGCTCATAATCTGGTCCACTCATACTGATGAACTTTAGGTTAGTTTAACAAATTTATTGACAAAGCTGTAGTACAGTTTGCCTAGTCTGAGTAGTTCAGTCAGGTCTTGACACTGAGGGTGGTATCACTTCTCACTGCCACGCAGGACAGAGGTTCATACACAAACAAATACATCATATTCATTAACAGCTATATATGTATAGAGGTCAGATTCATGTGGGTAATGTCCCTGTTCACTGCCATGCAGGACAGAGGTTCGTACACAAAGAGATGCATCATATTCAATGACAGTACATATACATATATACTTCATGTAGATCCACAATGAAAACGTGGATAAGATAAATCTTGATAAAATCACACAGTTGCCTCTGAAGATGTCTTGAATAAAGACGAAAGCTAAGGTGCTCCGTTGTTTCCCTTTTCCCGTGTGATTTTATCAAGATATATATATATATATATATATATATATATATATATATATATATATATATATATATATATATATATACAGTATATATATATATATATATCTTGATAAAATCACACGGGAAAATGGAAACAACGGAGCACCTTAGCTCATGGTATCGAGGGGAAAGTTTTAAATTGGATAAAATCATGGCTCACCGATAGAACGCAGAGGGTCAGCGTAGATGGTGTTAAATCTGAGTGAGGCCGTGTAACCAGTGGGGTTCCCCAGGGGTCAGTACTAGGCCCACTCTTGTTCATAATCTACATGAACGATTTAGATACTGGGATCAGCAGTGACATAAGCAAGTTTGCGGATGACACCAAAATAGGGCGGCAAATTAATTCAGGGCAGGATGCAAATGCATTACAGGAGGATTTAAATAAACTGCAGGGGTACTCTCAAAAATGGCAAATGAAATTCAACACCAGCAAGTGCAGCGTACTTAATATTGGAAGAACAAATACTTATAATGTATACAGCCTTAACAACATCAACCTAGAGAAGTCGACTTGTGAAAGAGACCTAGGGGTACTTGTAAGCCCGGACCTACGGCCTAAAAACAGTGCGTTAATGTTCGAAATAAGGCAAACAGAGTATTGGGTTTTATATCTAGAAGTGTAAGTAACAAGAGTGCAGAGGTCTTATTGCAACTATATCTTGCGCTAGTCAGGCCGCACCTCGATTATGCGGTTCAGTTCTGGTGCCCCTATTATAGAATGGATATAAATTCACTAAAGTCGGTGCAGCGAAGAATGACAAAAATGATTCCGGGACTTAGAAGCCTTCCATTTCAGGATAGGTTAAAGAAACTTAACTTGCATTCCCTAGAAAGACGAAGAGTGCGGGGAGATATGATAGAAGTATTTAAGTGGGTGAAAGGAATCAATAAAGGGGATATAGATAAAGTTCTTATAATATCCGAGCAGGATAGGACTCGGAGCAACGGATTCAAGTTGGATAAGTTTAGGTTTAGGATGGAGATAGGAAGAAACTGGTTTACAAATAGGGTGGTGGACGAGTGGAACAAGCTTAGCAACTTTGTAGTAAGTGAGGGAACTCTGGAAAGTTTCAAAAGGAGGCTAGATAGATTCATGGATGATAGAGAATGGTAGTAACTCTCGACAGGAGCTGCCATGCACAGGCCAACCGGCCTATTGCAGACTCCTTATTTTCTTATGTTCTTATGTTCTTTCGTCTTTATTCAAGACATCTTCAGAGGCAACTGGATTACTTGGACAGAGAGAGGCTTAAATATACAGGGTGACCTTAGAAACATGAGGTCAGGTCATAATGATGTCATCCACTAATTCCCACACCAACACACACGTAGAGGAGCTTAAGAGAATGGGGGTGACGTGACTAGTCAGGTCAGGTCAAAAATAAGGGACCCACTTGTACAGATATGTAAATACCAAGAGATGTGAACACGCCTGACGCCAGGACTCTGTTACCATTCATTGTACCATTTATTCACATGTCTGTATTACTACATATTATTATACCATGTCTGATATCTATGCTTATGTCTAATGCCTATGTCCACTTACTATGTCCCGATGTACTATGTCTGTACCGCGCTAGTCGAGTAATTAGAAGACCCCATTTATTGTCCTAGTAATGTCTAGCAACTCTCCTTGCCTAGCTAGCTAATTTCCCTCAGATCGGCTCCGGCCTACCTACGGTCCGGGGTCCCTTGTGCTCGCTTCTGTATCGGTCGGCTATCCCACCAAGTCTTGTACAACTTATTGAATATACCTACTGCTCGTGCTCTGGAGTTTGAAGAACCTTGTCTAGGATTGCATCCACCACATGGCGCAGTTGAGTAGCTCCAACACGACAGTTTACAAGCCTCAAGAGCCGGCCCCGTCTGTTTCCCGGCCTCGTCTGTTTCCTGCCCAGAAGATATACTCCACAGTGCCCCTGGATTTAAAGTGCTTTGTGACCTTGTGAAGTGCCCTAAGTGAAGTGCAGTGCCTTTTATGTCTCTTTGCTATGTTTCTGCGGCCCTACAGGTAGCAGAAACGCTTTCAGCCCAGTTTCCAAGACAGCACTTCCGGCATACATCCTCCATCTGCGCCGGCCCGCAGGCCACTGACTGCCTCCCCTTCGACTGAGCCAGCACTGCCAGCCTGCCGGAGGAATACCGCCAGCCGCCTCCTCTACCACAACATTAGTAGTCAGCATTTTTACTGTCTTTTCAGTTCCTGCACTTAGCAAGTACGACAAAAAACATAGCACTTCACCTTATTCTCCTTGTCTTTCCTATCGCAACCATACCAAACACACGAGATGTCTGACCACGACGATTTGCCGGGAAATTTAGATGCTGAGGATTATGGGGAGGCAGGACGAAGCCTCACAGACCCCCCCCACTCCCCCCTCAATATCTTCACGTCACACGCCAAATTGTGTTGATGGGAGCAGATATACGTTTCTATTAATCCACTTCCCAAGTAAGTTTCCCAAGAGAAGGAAGCCCAAAGACGTCAATTAAAGGAGGAAAACGACGTCGAGAGGAATGTGGTCAAGACGCCAAGAGGAATTGTCAAGACAGTCAGAGTGCACTGTGCTTACCGCCTCAACTTCAAATTACCGGGTCAACACCAAGCTGATAAATCCACAAACTCCTGGGCCTATTGGAATTGCCGGCAACGAGGACGACTCCCACCAGCCGCCACAACCACCCGCCAGCTTCCAGCCTCTTCATCTAATCCTTCAGACAACGCCTCCTCACACGTCACCTATCCCCCCTTGGGTAGTTCTGCGCTCAACCACCTGCTCCAGTCTCAACTCTCGCTAACCTCTCCGCTTCCCTCCACCGCTCGTCAGTCTCGGAAAGTACACCCCTGCACAGCAAGTCTTTCAGTTCCCAGTCCCCAATTCTTCAATCTGATGCAATATATCAAGTATACCAAAGCCAATGGTGATGTCGTTTCGAAGACTTGCCAGCAACTGACCAATGCCCTCATAAACAACTCATCCATTAAGACGCATTTCCTCGATGTTCAACGCCTGATAATACGCTGGCCATCCCCCTGACTCCCAGGCCAGCATGGAAGTTAAACGCCTTGCAGAGTTTTTCCGTGGCCTCCGCGAATGAAGCTTTAAGTCAGGAACTGCTATCCTGCAAACAAGCCTGGGGAATCACACTCAGACTTCTATGCACGACTTAAGGACCCAGCAGCCGAGGTGGACTTGCACAGGCGATCCCAGTAACCTGTGCTGAGATCCAGCCTCAAGATGATCTTGCTGATGGGAAAAATGCGGACGAGGACCTGTTTTGAACTCTCACCCCTCGATTTACGCCTTCTCACCACTGCCCACTGTTGCAGGTCGTATGAGGCCACAAGAGGCTGCCTCAGCTATACACTCCATCGCTATCTTCAAGTCCAGCGTCTCACCCATAAAGAGGAATCAACGCCAGATGGTACGGCGCCCCTCTCCACAGCCCCTGCCACAGTCACCGCTTTTCTCCTAATCCCAGAAACTGTCAGCGCCAGCATGTCCAGGAAAGGCCTCGCGGCTGATAGCATGTCGAAATCAGGGTTTCAAGGCTATTGGTCTCAAGACAACTCGATGTCCTGCCAATGTTGTCTCATAAATGCTTGCAACAAGGCACTTAAGTGTTGCAGGTCCACCAAGAAGCTTCCATCTCCAGGTCAAAACGTCTCTTTACAGCCCGACAACGTCCACACCACCGTCTCCCCAAGAATAAAGATGCCGACGCGGATGATGCCTTCGGCGACAGGTCCTCAAGCCCGCTAATGTTCGGCCTGTCCCACGGTACCATCCTCCAACCCCCTGATGATACCTGACACGGCGCGGACATCACGGTGATTGACCAACGCACGGACGCCCTCTAACATCCCCAGGAGTAGCCTGTCACCCATAGCCATGAACGACGTGCTCAGAACAGCGGATTTCTGGGTCCCTGATGTTCCACCTTTGGGTTGCTTCAAGGCAACATCACAGCCTTGGTCCTAAAGTCCGTTTTGCCATAAACCATGTCCATGAGGGCATCCAAACCCCCCGGTCATGTGTGGCCATTGTTGTGGACTTGGCCATCGTCTCCATCCGAGTTCCCAAAGTCTATCCTCGTTGCGACACAATTTCAACAGGTGCAGAGATACCTGTTTCAGCCATGACCACACCTGCTGCCGTCCCCGGGAAGTTCTTTTTTTCGTCAGTTCAGGCGACGTCCTTTGTCTCCAAGTCCGACCTCCAGAAGATGCCGCCAAGAAGATGACAGGCCCCCGATGAGAATCCACCTCAGCCTGGGCGCGACGCCTGCCACATCCACACACCCAGGCCTATCCCTGCCATGCATGTGGGACAAGGTGAAGGCAGAGCTCGATCAGTGCAGGGGACAACACACGCCGGTGAGGAGTTCTGAGTGGAAAGCACCATATCTGGCACCTGCCTGTGAGGTGTTCGCATTACAGTGGACCTCACCCATCTCAACTCGTGAGGTCTCCGTCCTGCCCATCCATCGCCCACGCCCATCCAAGCAGTCCAGAAAGCGTCACCCTGTCTGCAAAGTTCCTTTTTACCACGGCAGATGCACTACATGGCATCAAGTGTCGACTCTGGCGGAAGGCAGATCGCCACCTCACTACATTCATCACAGCCTCACGGCCGCC